GAATGGATCCTTGTGTGTATATAACATGTAACAAATGAAAAATATATATTAAGCTTAAGTTTCATTCCAGCACTTAATGAATGAAGATTAATGTGACTTTTCTTTAAAGGGTAAATGTGATTCACACTAAATGATGTTCTAGCATTATACATGATTTGGACAAAATGAACTGCCAACAGTGCTAAAATGATGTTAGTGCGCATGGCAAGTATTTAGGTGCTTTTCTTGCATGCTTTGTCAATGTGTCATATGTGAAAGAATAAACTTTAAAATGATTTAATTTGAACTCTGTCTTTATTTTTGTTTAATATTGCTCAAATCTTAAATGCAAGTAGACAAATGAAGGTGAATTTAAACGTATTTATGTAAGGAATTTAACAAGTAATTTTACACGGTTTATCATAACTCTCTCCTAACACTGTGCTAAGTATTACTGCTTTCTGTGTGCAAGTGGGTGTATCAAGAGGGGCACAACGGAGGGGTGGAGGAAGGACATTATCTCAGAGTGCCAGGCTGGCCGGCATCAACCTGCTTGGCCTCCTGTATCAAAAGATCATTTCCTGACGTATATTATGTGTCATTGTAATTATTAGATGTAAAAAAAAAGAAACATCAATATAAAAGGACAAGTGATCTTACATAAATAAAGCTGGAAAGCACAAGGTGTTACCAGAACAAAAAGCTTATTTTAGAGACAATTATTTATACCGATGGGATAAAGTAGAATAATTCAATGTATCAAATGAAGATGTGAAAACATGGGTTCAACAAACGAAGTAACTCTTCAAAGAGTTTGCACCAACATTTGATGCTCTGCTGCTTTATAAAGCTTTATTATAATCTTCAACTCTTTGTTTAGCTTAACATTACATTTGATTTAGCTCACGCTTTTACCCAAAGCGACTTACAATAAGTGCAATAAACCATAAAGATACAAACTGTGTGCACTGCAGATTTAACGCAAACAGCTGTTTAGTTTCTCTTTTAAAACTTTGGAAATCCAGTGTACATTTATGCATTTAAGTCCAAATGTATACAGTTAGCAACAATACATAATGGAGCATTTAGTGATTACAGATACATTGGTGGAGACCACAAGGAAGTAAACAAATGAATATTATATTAGCCAACTTAAAATGTGTTCAGAAACAGGACTCATGACAAATTAATGTTTATGATGCTCTGTACCTGCTGGAATAAGCTTAATATGAAACAGTTAGTTATCAAATCCGCCATATTGATATGTAATGTGTACATGTTATATTGACAACTTGTTTTTGCTGCCCCCAAGTGGCCCCATAAAATCCGTTTAAGCAGGTTCAATGCGATTAGAAACAGAAACACCTTTTGCTACTTTGACAAATGATGTTTGCTGTGAAAAAGGCCTATAATCACCAGGTTCCACAACTTACCTGCATGAGGACAAGGGGGGAAACGAGAAAAGCTCAATAAATTAACTTGCATAACTGGTAAGTTGTAATCCTTCTGTACATTGTGAGATATAAAACAAACGGAGCTTCAGTCGCTCCTTAAGCAGAGACATGTGCTTGTGTTGCGAGCTAGCTTGAGCTAATGCTACTCAGTAGGCTACATTGGCTTTTGTTTATGATGAATCACAAATGTCCAGTAGACAATTCAGCATTAATTGAATACAGATAAAACGTTTTTTTTTTTACGCACCTTAATACTCTTTTTTTCCATAGCAGAGATCTAGACATGTCATAGCAGGAAAGTCACAGGTGATACACATTTTGTAAACAATGGCTAATTGGTAGGGATGGCGAGATGAAGCCTTATGAAACTTTGAAGCTTTCCAGCCAATTGGTTCGCAAAAGGGTTCATCTCATGAGGTTTCATCATGGGCTTCATCTGAACACAAACCCCCCTGTTGGTCAAAGTGTGTAAAACAGGCAGATTTGACATCTCAACAGTGTGCCGTATCCAGTGACGTGCGGTGAAGTTCATGGCTGGTGAAGCACTGACTCTTTCAGAGTCAGATTTACAAATATTATATTTTGACCTTAATCGAAATATTCTGTTATTTGCAAAAGCTTTTTTAGTCTGATGCTTCGATTCATTTTAAACAGACCGTTCAACAAAAGGATACCCAAAATCTAAATATTGGATTGTTCTTTCTTAGTAAGATCCCATTTTCATTACAGTTGTGGTCTTACCTTGACTTGAAGATGAAGTCCATGCTATCCTTCTGGACAACAATCTCTATTACTGTTTTGTAAAAGTCCTCCTTATCTTCCTCTAGTTTCAAAAGTCTAGTTTGTTGTTTGCGTCTACCGTCTCTGCGTAGAATAACAGTAGCAACAAGAACCTGTGGGCTCACGTGCTCAGTGCGGCAGAGGTTATGGCTGCCTCTCCTGGTGCTTTTTTCATTGCCGTTGTACGATGAGACCAGCGGGCCTAAATATCATATATACGTGAAATAAGTTATTTAGAGACTATGGATGGCGAGGATAAATGTCATAAAGGGATCTACAAACATTACATTGGTGACCTATAGTGAGATGGTAACAGGCATGCGCTTAGTGCCCGCTTTCCAGACAGTTTCTGTGGGGTGACGCATTCTGAAGTGAGGCAGAGCTCATCTGTGCCTCACCTTACCCCACAGTAAATGGCTTGAGCGTGCTCACAAAATAAGTGTCCCTGCCTCACTTCTCATCGCTCCCGTAGCGGATCTCGGCAAATTTGCTGATTTTGACTATAAAATGCGATTGGAATCATACAGAAATCACATTTACACAAGATCAGTGGAGACATTTTATTATTATTATTATTTAGTTTTTCTTTAATTGTTTTTCCGTTACATTGGAGTATGACAGGTGAGGCTCTGCCTCCCCTGCCTCCCCTGACTGCACGTCACTGGCTGTATCTCATACCGAGTTCCCAATGAGTAAAAAGCCTTAGAATAACTCTAACAATATTGTATTTATTCCAGTTTAATGATTGTGATTGAAAAGCCTAAGGAGGCTGGTAAACATTGCAAAGAGAGATTTTTATACCTTAATAATATTCGTAAACTTAACCATGTTGTAGCCTGAGAAAGGCTAAACCATATCAAAGACTACATTTATTAACTACACACATTTAGCTGTAGCTTTTATAAACAAACAAAAATACATATTGACCAGTCGTTGACCCAGGGACCCTGCGGATGTGAGTCAACTGCTTTCCAGCTGAGACACAGCCCACACACTGAATCTATCTGAAAAAACTGGATACTATTTATTCCTGTATTTATTCATTTATTCATGTTTTTATTCCTACATTTATTTATGCTTTTATTTATTTATACTTATGACATGTTCCGACTTAATTCCATCGTGTCACCGGGCCCGGGTACAGGAAGGGTAATATCGTAATTATTATACATCCATGGGTATTATGAGCGTTGTGGTTCAACCGATCTAAAGCACTTTCTGAAGCAGTGGTATTGAGGGGCAGGCTCGATACAAGCTTCACAAAAAGCTTCGGGGATTACTCGACACACGCTCCGAAGCCTCGGCGCAATACGTAACATCACTACTAATTGGTGTCCAAGTAAGCAATGCCAGACAGCCAGCAGCCACAATACCAACCATGGCTCAACTAAATGGATTGCAGTCATTTTTATGTTATCAAACCTGTGCATTTCCTGCCATGATGATACAAATGTATTTTATTTAAATAGTTTATTGTTGGTTTATCCTCTAGATAATTAGACCATGATAAAAAGAAAACAAATGTGTGCAATTGCAGAATATGGCAGTACCCCTTTATAATGTGTGACCCCTGCCTCACTCTGAAATCCTCTCTGTGGTTTCACAATGCAGCGGGACGAGGCAGACCAGTCTGGCACGGGCAGAGGCAGCTGTAGCAGCGTTGTGAAAGCAGCTCATCCTGTTGTGTGGCCCTGAAACCGGGTGTGCAGGGGTTCCCAGAGCATCCTGGTAGCTGTTTTTTTGTGTGTTTCTTCTCCCATGCAATGTTTGCCACCCCACACGTACAACACCCATCAAAACAGACACACACGCAAACTCAGCCACCAACCCTCCTCCAGGAAACTCGTTGGCCGTCAATGAGACAGCACTAACTGTAGGCCTTTCCGGGCCATTTGGTTGAGCCGAGCGCCACTGCACAGCTGCACCTCACCCCCAAACTTATGCAACCCCCCACACTACCACCACCACCACCACCAAGCTGAACCCAATCTCTAACCGCATCCCACATCCACTCTGACCTTCCTCACACAACCGCACTCCTACAATTGTTGCTGTTGCAAAACTCTTCTGCAACTTTATTGCTTGCACACACACACACTGATGCACAAACACGTCAAACATGGTGGAATGTAAATAGGCAAATGTACTTAGTATATTCTACTTATCTAAAATGTAAAACTCCAGCACTGCTTAAAGGTGGGGTAGGTAATTTTGGAGAAACCAGCTCGAATGCGCCAGAATTTGAAAATACACAGCCGGAAAAAATCTGCCGCTTCCTTACAGAGCCCCTCCTCCAACACACACGAACGCGCACATGACCAATGAGGGCACGAGATAAGTTTGTGCACAGATGGAAGGCTGACAAGCAGGTAGGCCATCCAGTTATTTTAGCCTGGCCGGCTAAAATGATTGGTCGTGCTTTTTACAGTACTACGGCTTCCACAGATGACATTTATTTATGGATTTTTTGTCAAAGCACTTAAGATATTCATTGCTATCGGGATGTTAAGAGCATTCCATGGAATATAATAAAAAGTGTATCTCGAGCCGGTGTCTCAAACTTACCTTTAAGACAACAATTAAAGAATTGTGTTTTTTATTATTTTCAGGGCTCTATTGTAAAACCATTTAAAACCTTATTTTATGGCTACCTTGTTGAAAGTACTGTAATGAATCTGTCATTATGGTGAAAAGCACAAACAAACAAGGAGTTTGCCCCTGACTATTCAGCCCTTATTGTGTAACATGTGCTGACAAATATTACACGTTATTGTTTAAAAATGAGCATTCACGTTTACACTTGTTTATTTCAGAACCCAACCCAATAGCAACTGAGATTTAATTGTGCTGAACTCTTTGAGGATACGCAAATGTTCCCTAAACCTTTTGACAAACACGGGAAAAACATTTGTAATGTTGAGACATCTTGCTGACACAGAGCAGTCTTTGTAATGCAATAAGAGGATGTCAAATAAGGAACAGCTATCTAAAACACACTTTATTTCTGTCTGGTACAAGTGTTTCACAATTTTGGGGTGGAACCATCTCTGACAATAAGAAAAGCAGGAACATCCAAAACGGCAAATTTGGTTCATTATTGCATTGTTCGCATGCACTTCTCTGCAGGCACATAAGAGTATGTGGCACTCTTAAGTCACTTTAAATCTACTGGGGCAATGCTAATTATATAAATGTTACCAAGGCAGCATTTAGACTAAGAAAACAAAAGATCTGGTTTTCAACCTAAATTCTTTATCTGAGAAAAGATTATTATTTTTGTTACCATGTAGGAATTAAAATCAGACAATATATATATATATTTCCATCACAGTGTTTTGCATAATCTATATATGGTATGGAGCCTCATTGTTTGACAAATTGGGACCTTATTTGGATATTAAACTTTTTAAAGTCTGTTTAAATACTCATTGATGTTTCATGCCCCTCAACCTGCCCCACAGCAGTATTTTCCCAAAACACAGAGCTTACACAATGTTTGCACAACCCTGGAAAAGACATAAAGACAGTTGAAACAACAAAAATGTCTTAAAATATCCATCTCCCACTTATTTCACTGATTAAAGAGAGTCACGCTTGCTCCTCAAACCCTTTTTGTGTCCGACGATGATTGTGTCCATCAGTCTAACATTCACACCTCTTTGTTGGCTGTCTTTTGGTGTCACCGCTCATCGTTTGTGGCTGCCACCATCCTTATCTGACCCTTGCCCTTTCCCAGAATGCCATGGGTCACCAAAGAAGTCTTAGCCCCAAAGCTTTCCTCACTGTCCGTGTCGCCATAGCAACTGGATGTTGCTGGGGAGTTAACCATAGCGATGACTGAGTCTGTTGAGTCTCTGTCTCTGTGGACGGTCCCGGGGCGGGCCGACGGCGGTGGGGCGTCGTTGGACGGAGGAGGAGTGTTGCACTGAAAAATGATGTTCTGTTTATTATGGTCTGCCACGGTGCTCTCGTCCTCATCCTCAGTTGAGTCTCTGCTCTTGTCCTGCGCCTGGTCGTTGAGCAGAGTGACCAAGAAGTTGATGTACTTCACAGCCAGACGCAGGATTTCATTCTTGCTGAGCTTCTTGTCAGGCGGATGTGTGGGAATGAGTTTCCTCAGCTCAGAGAACGCCCCGTTCACGTTCTGCTGTCGCCAGCGCTCGCGGCTGTTGGTGAAGACACGGCGAGCCATCTTCTGGGGTGGGCCTGTTAGACACACATAATCACTGTCTGAGTGTCCAGGGCCTTAAAGGATATAAACAGAAGTTAATACTTATTATTATTATTATCAACAAATCACACCAGAAATTGCAAAACCAACAATGAAACAAGTATTGTGTAGCCAAACCCTGATATATCTCAGTTGTCCAAAAACTATAAAAACACATTGATAAGACAAAATGTCACATGGCAAGATCTTTAATTGTTTCCATGAATTTAGGCCTTTTGGTCATTTTTAAGTCAATCATGTATATCCTGTAACTAACTACTGTACCAAATGTGAATTATTCGACCGCTGAAAATAGTCCCCAAACAAATGCAGTGTTTGAGTGACATTTGCTAAAAATGACTGTCCTGCTCTTTTTCTTTACCAAATATTTATCTGAGCTATTTCTTTTTAAACTGTCTTGTCTTCAGTAGTAGGCTAGAGAGAAGGGGTTGGACCTTATTGCCATTGTTGTTGTTTTTTACAAGATTTGTTGATAACAAGGAAAATCCAGAATATCGGCAACGCTTTCTTTTAGATACATTGGTGATTAACCTTCTTCATGATGTGAGCAGCAATACAATTTCACACATGTACAAATTCACAAACAGAGACTATGGCTGAATCAATACTGATGTCTGATTCTCTCTTTGGTCACACAGAAACTCACAGTCATTGATCTCCACCTCATAGTGTGACGAGGGTCTTCGCTTGATCCGGCTGTTATTGATGACCCCATAATTTCCTCCTGAGGGACCCAGGTAAGAGCTAGAGATACAAACACAGCAACATGTGACATTGTTGTAACTGCATTCACTACCAAGTGCAACTGAATATAGAAAAGGTTTACAATATGAAGTCGATCCAGCGTCCCTTCTCGTTAAAAGAAAGGAGAGAGAAATATAAAAGATGTTGGAAGCCATTAACTGCGCTGTGATTATGTTGGTGGCGTTGATTGAGTGTGCATGCAGAGTTTTATCCCAGCCTCATTAAGTATGGTCACTAGCTGATTCTACTTCAGGGGGAGGAAATGGATCAATGCTTCTTGCTACAAACAGATAAGAGAAAAAGTAAGGAGAGGATCTTATTCCCAGACCCCATGACAGATGGTGAGACCTTAGATGTAGAACAAAGTCCCACTTTCTACATTACTGATGCTCCTTTGTTGCAGAAAGAAACTGAGGAAAATCGTTTTTTTGTAGTGAAAAGATGAATGGTTGGAGGGCTTTGATAATGTTTGCTAATGAATGCCTTTTTTTCACGAGACTAAGCTTAGAATTGCCAACGTTACGAGGCCATAAAGAAATCTAAAACTTCAGTTAGTCTTTTGTTGATTCAATTTCTACATTGACTTACAGCAAATGTAGATGTAGAACTCCAAGCGTTGTATTTTCAGATTTGGGCGCTAAATGGACACAAAAAACGTTCGAGGATGCAACTTTTGTTCACTGACTAAATATCCTGATGAGCAAGTTAAGCGTGAGAAATGTTCGGTCCCTTCATAACAGCACACATCCTGCTGTCAGCTTTGCATAACTGTGCAGCAAAGCCACAATTAATCACAATGGGAAGTCATGAAATTCAGGCAGTTGAGGTTTCATATGAAACAGAAAATTGTTACGACGCAGCATTATCATAGTAACAGTATCAGAGTAACATCTCAGGAAAGTATATTTTATTTTATGGTTAAGAGCTCCACATCTGTTTGCATGCTGGATCAAATGGAGGTGAATTAGCAGTAGGCATACTGTCTTTTATTTAATAAACGGCATGATTTTGAGTTACATTTCATAGTTCAGGCATACAGTAGGAGGAGAATTATTCAACTAGTCATTAAACTGACATTTCCACTTACAAGATTATTTAATACACATTCTCCTTATTACATTTGGATGTTGATATCAGTGCTATCTTCTAATGCTGTGGTTCCCAACCTTGGTTCCAGAGAGATGGATATAAGAAGAGGATAAAATCTGAATGTTAACTGTTAACAAAGACAGGGAAAAAAAGTAGATGTTCTTATTTTTCACCTTTTCTTTTCTTAAAGAAAGCTTTGCTTCTTTAATTCTCAAAAATGATTCAAATGAAACCACCTGAAAAACATTTCCATTAAGCAAAATGGTTTCTTATGGATTCATCTATACAAGCCATTTCTCACCTGGTGAAGAAGGGGTGTGCAGAGAGGTACTGCTGAGGCAGCAGGGGCCCTGGGGAGGAGGCTGAAGGGCCCCCAGAAGAACAGGTCAGCTGACTGCGGCGAAGGTCCCCATGTAGCCCATGTAGGAGGTTGGGAATCGGGTGGAGGGCCGTCAAAGGGGTATTTGGGAGCGGGAGAGGGAGCGGGGGTTTGCTGTGACCAAGGCTGATGACTGGAATGTGTGGAGGAAGAGGTGAGGATGAGGAGGAGGAAAAGGAGGACACGGCAGAGGTTGGAGGTGGTAGAGGGCCCGAGGAGGTCTTGAAAGGTGCCGGGAGAAGTGGAGGTGGGGAGGACAGAGTTGGAGACCTGTTGGTCGAAATGGCAGGGGCTGTGGTGCTCTTTGGCCCTTGTCGCTTCTCCTCCTCCTCCTCGGTCTCCATGGCGATGGGCTCAGGTGCAGCAGCTGTATCTGCAGGGCGACTAGTTAATGTTGTTGTGGAAATGGGCGAGTGAATGGAGCCAGAAGAGGGGACATCCGTGTGTCCCATGTGCCCGGTCTTGTTAGCACTCGAGGGGGCTAAAGTCTGCTGGAGGGGACTGTGCTGCTCTACGGAGGCACAGGATGGAGAGGAGGTGGCGGAGGAGGAGGAGGAAGAGGAGGGGTGGCGAGGCAGGTCGGGCGGTGAGGCCGGTGGGCCGGTGGGGTTCATCTTCTCCATCATGGTGCTGAAGTCTCTGGAAGAATCCCTTTCAGCACAGTGTATCTTATGTGTGATAATCATGTGTACAACCTGCAGCTTGTCCTACAGAGACCTTAAACCTGCCCTATGTGGCTTTACTTTATATGTCTTTGTTACACTTAGATACTATTATAATATTTAGCTGCTCTACCTCAAGGTAGATCTTTCTCTGGCAGACCTGAAATCCATCAGATGCTCTTACCCTGGCTGGGGTCAGAATGTGAGTCTGCTGTCTGTCAGAGTCGATTATATTTGCCTTGAATGGAGCTGCAGCTGCCCTCTCACCCAGCCTTATTACCCATCATGCATGCACCTGCTGGCTGTGTGTGAGTAAACGTGAGCTTGTATTAATGCCTTCACTTTAACATTACAGAGGGTGCCACTGAAGCAAATGCTGCAGTCCTTTTAATGGAGGGATTCTTCTCAGGTAGTGTCTCTGGGTGCAGCGTCGAGCCGGGGTGGTTGATGTGGTCTGAATTGGAGTGGATTATTTTCTCAGTAAAATCCTGAGCGGCAGATTCAAGGTATTTAATGACTCTCCAGCAGCACGAGTCCCTACTGTATATCTGTCTGTCAAAATCCTTTTAAGCCTTAAAACGTCCCAGACCCCCAAAGGTTGGATTGATATCAAAGAGTCTGTTAAACAAAAGAAAAACACACTCAGGATATATATTTGGTGCATTTGAAAATGTGCTTGAAGGTCATCATTTGCAGAAGAGCACCAAAAGAGCTTTCATACAACTATCAGGATAGTATTTGTTGGTGTTGGTTTCTGCAGTCAATAGTTTAAAGCTAGTTTTGATTTATGGAAAAACAAGATTTAACACAAACTAAAGCTGTGATGGGTGATCAAATCCACAATATCAAGTGATTACGCAGTAGTTCTCTACTTCTTCAAGAAGGGAGATGTTTGTTTTTACTCTGCTCTGCGAAGCGTAACGCTCTAATGATTTCTCAGGTTTTGCAATTTTAAGTGTTCCTCTTTTGTCTTTTGTAGTTGTCATGACTTTATTTTGAACAGTTCCGTCTTTCACAATGATGTCCATATGTGCACTCGCAGGTTTTGTCAACTTGTTTTGCAGCAATGGTATTTTTAATGTCATGAATACCCTGGTAGAATAATTATTAGAGAAGCCACACAGAAAGTTACAGATTTATATGATTTCTGCAGAAAGAATGAGACGCACCATTGCTTTGAAATAATGAATGTACTGTATGCATTTTAATTAAAGTATTATGACAAGTGTTTGTTATGTCATACATGATAGAGCAATTGGTATTTAGTTAAGCCTGTAATCTGGCCCATTCAAATGAATAGACAAGTTGTCAAATAATATATTAATTATCCAGCAATATTTAAAAAATATCATCTTTATTTAAAAAGTTTTGTTAAGCCAAATGCTTAATTACTGCTGTTATATTTCCACTAAGATTGGTTGTAAATAATTTAGCTACACTAAAATGCAATGTAACAAAGCATCAGACATGACTTAATATTACATTTATAATAAATTATAAATAATCTTATTTTATTACCGGTTATCAACAGAAACAATTTTACTACAATGTAATTCTGTTTATGACATATGGCACATGTACAACTCCAATCAGATGCAATTTTGTTATTTTTTATTATATATACACTTTAAAATAATGTTAAATCTGCAAACCATACATGCATAACAAAATACATATAAACTGAAATAAAAAATAAAATAAAAAAACGGGTAAGAAAAAGTACGTACTCACATATACATTATGACATCAAGTCTGTCTGTCATGCAAAATCCGTTCAAGTGATCTGTGAACGCACATGTTGTATCGTCTCAGCGTTTAACGCCCTCCTCCTTCAGGTCGCTCACACTGCAGCCTGTCACTGTCTGTCCGTCAGATTCTGAGGTCAGAGCGGTCTGACACCCGTCAAAACACAACTCATGTGAATCGCTCTTTTAAAATGTAAAATTATATATATATAAACTTCCCGAATAATCACAAGTCAGATTTTGAACGTCCAAACGCTCATATTTCTTTGTTGTGAAGTTTGAACATAAAGCGTGGAGGTGTTCTCCGCCGCCCCCCGTCCATCTGTCATTCCCTCTCTCTCTCTCTCTCTCTCTCTCTCTCTGTCCTTTCTCTCCCTTCCCCTTCTTACTCTCTTTGCCCAGAAGAAACAATGCTTAAGCTGGTTGCCAGTCGGAGAGCTCAGGTACTGGACTGGCAAGTGTAAGGAGGGGCCGAGAGAGAAGGGGAGGGGGGGGGGGGGGGGGGGGGGGAGAGAGGGAACCATGTTGCAAGGAGAGTTTTCCGCTCCCTGCTGGACAAGAGGATGTGCTCGTACAATGTGGCGGCTGCTGATAAGAGCCTCAAAGCTGCCTGTGGCCTGTAGATAAGGAACCTCCACCACCCCTCCTCCCCCCTCCACCACCACCAATACCACGCACACACTTTTCACAACACACACACACACACCTACATGCATGTGTGCGCACACAGACATCACACTAGACTGGTCAGTCCCAGACTTTGAAGAAATCTGGTCTGGTTCCAAGAAAATATCCGCAACTGCACTGTAAATATAATAAAGAGACAATGGTACACAGGCTTCTTCACAGACAGAGTGAGTGTTCACACAGAGACAATGCCGAGAGGAGTCCTTTGGGAATCCCCTAAAATATATAATTAAATGTGCTATTAATGTTTTTTTTTACATCTTGATTATTTGATATGAATCCCTTTTTAATAATGTGTTTTTGTAATAGGATTATAAAAATGCACATTTGTACTTTTATTCTGAATTTGAAACACAGGGAAAAATGCCAATAATTTGTTTGTATTGGCTTTCAAATGTGAGGGTTTGATGTTTTTCCACTCTATGATAATACACTTAATGTCTTTATATTTATTTTTGATTGTTTGCTGTATAAAACACGCAATAAATATGAGATTATAATGGCCATTTCTCACAATTCTATGACTAAACAAAGCAATTTATTGCCTTAATCAAGAAAACAAAAATGATAATAGTTTCAGCCCTACTGTCCATATACATTAATATATTTGTGTGTAACAACATTGTGCAAAAACAGAATATCCCTCAACATTAAACTTGGAGCTTTTCTGTAATGACATCAGAGCCCACCTGTGTCACCGATGACCAACGCACAAGTCGTCATCGTGGTAACTTTCCTCTCCAAGAGCTCGCAAGCTTCCTTCCTAAATCTAACTCTCACCCGTTCTCCCCTGTGCTCTCCCTCTCTCTCTCTCTCTCTCTCTCTCTCAGGGTCAGCAACTTTTACATTCCCTCAGTCATTTCCTTCTTAGACTGAAACACAAACATTATGAAGGTTTTACAGTAACGTGACCTTCAAGGTCCTGGGAAAGAAAGAAAAGAGTTGAGCGAGCCACTCAACAAATCTGTCATCGCCTTCATAATAATCATCATTATGGTCATCATTGTTGATTTTATTTTTGTATTGTGGTAATCTTCATCACTTTAAACAGTAACTGCACTAAGGTCTGTGCATGCTGAAATAATAAAAGCACATTGGAGCTGCAGACGGTGTCTTCTATCCGTCTGTCACACTCTTTTGCGTCGGGCAGCTGTGGTTCCAGTTGATCGCTCTCTGTGTGCCAGAATAACTGTGCCGTGGTACCGCTGGGCTGACATGAATTTGCCTGTAACATAAAAAGCTACACAAGGGACAGAGCGAAATCCTTTGGGATTCACTTTTTCCGTGCTTTATATACTCCTCAATATGATTCAATATTGTCGCATAGCTGTATTGTCATTATAGTTTTGACAGTTTTTAAATGTGTTTATCTTTTTTCTGTGGCTTTTGGGTTCATTCAAGATATGACTAAAATATTAAAAAGCTTTTAAATCCCTTTTAGCTTTTTTTCAGCGATTGTTTAGGTTTCATTTGGACTATCATTGCTGCTAGGGAGACTAATACAAAGCATAAGGACATTATAACATGTAAGGTAAGTAATTGAAATGGGCCTTTTACTGTTTTGTTTCCAATATTTGTTAGATTAACTTCCATGTAAAAATCTACAAAAAACACTTGTATGTAAATACTCTCTATTGTTGTTTTGCACCACATTAAAAAATATAGATATTTTGAATTGCTTTGAATCGAAAATTTCCCAGTGATTAATAATGAACTTTTGAAAGAACATACATAACATTCATCCGTTTGCAACTCACATATATCATATATATCAATATTCCAATTACTGTATATAGACTATTCTGCACAGTTTCTATCATATTCTGTTTCTATTATATTCTATGTTATTCTATTTTATTGACTTTTTATCTGTTTTATTGTGTTGCACTGTTGGAGGAGCCTGTGACCTAAGATGTGCATTGTCATAACTACACTGTATGCACACATGACAATAAAAGCCTTGAAACTTGAAATTTAAAAAAATGACGTATGAAGATTTCTAAATGAAATTTAAAGAATTTGGGAGAAAGGTCATTTACAAGTCAAAAGAATAATAGCTTTATTTAAAAAATAAATAATTTAATTGAATGAAAAGTGAGTATTATTATTATCTGTGCACTGTTGTATTATGATAGTTGAAATAGGGATAAAACTAATGTGGGATAAAGATGTTTTATCAGGTGCTTGACAAAGATACAAAATGACAACTTACTGTATATTTTGAGTTTGAGTTAAGTTTTCCTGCTAAAGCCGGATCACTGTGATAGTCACAGTTTTCTGGGTTGCTCCCTCAAACAAGAAAAGACCCAGAAGAAAAATCATTGACTCTGTCCTTTACGGCTCATGTGAACACCCAAACTGTAAACAGGGAATAATAATAGAAACAGACGATAACAGACAGCTTCCACTTTTCCCTTGAGTGAGTAAGAAATCAAGAGAGGATTGTTTTAATCTCAGAGGCCGGTCGTCACACCCTCCTTCCGGCTGACTCAAAATACCCAGCTCAATATATGCAGTATCGATGGGAGACCTGTGTGTGTGCAAGCGTGAAAGTCAGGGTCAGGCTATTTGTTAAAATACCTTAGAGACTTCAGTAAAAGTAAATGTAAAGGTTCTGTCTCACTTTGTTGGGTGTATTTCTCAATGTTGTTTCTGCACCTGCAGTATTAACATTGCTCTTCTTTCTGGGCCAGTAAGCATGCAATGGTTTCGAGTGGAAAATTAAAAGCTTGTGGCTTATTGTCTATCTAAAGAAAGTTACAGCTGTTAAAATGTAGTACAGCAACCAAAGTGAAGAGGACATTAAATGATGAAGCACATAATCATACTGTACATTTGCATCTTAGCATTAGCATGATTGAAGCCTGGAAGCTGCATTTATAAGTGTTAAGTATGCAGCTGAATGTTAAGAACTCTGACACAAAAGCTACACAATTGAGCAATAGCAGACCATGACGGAGCGGATTGTAGGGGGAAACGGAGCACAAGAGACAAAAAAAAGGAAGCTATTGTAAATGATTAGCTGCATTGCACCATCAACTTGTATTTACCTTCCTCATTCATAGTAACTGCATGCTCCACCATACAAGCATGAGTTGGTATAAATGCATCTTTTGAATAAACTGTGGAAATGTATTGTCAAATTACGGCTAAAAGGCTGGCTAATGGACAGTTTTATAAATCTTATTAGCGTGTTTTCCATCTTCAATATGCCTCTATTGAATGAATCAATGCCCAAAAAGTCATACTTGTCTTGCAATGGAAAACATGTACGTGTTTGTTGCCTAATTATTAATTATTATTACATATTCATTTCCATCTCTTGGAGAGTAGAAATAGATTTGCATTATCTTTCCTTTACGGGTACTGTTCAGATAAAGTAAGATAGGTAACTGTCTGAAAATAATGAAATGATTTTACATTTGGTTCACTCGTTGGTGTGTATGTGTGCCCAAAGATACTGTGATGTGATGCTTGCTCTCTGTTTGACTCACTTATACTTCCTGGGCAGGTGGTACGTTCCAGTCAGATGAGCCCATTAAGAGCAGGTAGGGCGAAGATGGCAGGTTCTTATAAGTATGTAGATTTCGTTTATATTTATTTCCAAGCTTATTGCACTAACTTCTGCTTATCAACATGTTCTTTTTAACATCCCTTCATCTACCTTTTTTTACTGTGTGATGGCCACTGCGACCACAAGCGGTAGAAGAAGGATATCAGCCATATCAACATGCCAGTGACACAACAAAATGCTTCTCAATTTAGCTAACTTCCTCCATTAGCTGCTGGTCATACCAAACCTAGTGAGTAAGCAATAATTTATACTTATGAAACTTATCATTATCAAAGTAAGATGTCATTTCTTTCAAACCTGCATTAAAGATGGGGAAAACTGGAGATTTTAAGTCAAACCATCCTCACACACTACAGTGTGAACTTAGTCATATCTCTAGTATAAACACATTGTGAGGACATTACACACACATGCCGATGCCCAAGAAAACATACACACTCCCCAAATTGGGCTCCATGGCCACGTTTCCTCCACCTCATGTAAACACTATTGTGTGCCGGGCGATAGGGATCTCTGGAACCTAATTGTTTGAGGCAATATTCGCAGTGCACTTCATGGAGAAAGTGACAAACAATGCTGCGAGCGCTGGCCGGGACATACGCTCTCTGCTCTGCTGTGACAGATGTCCACTCCATTTATTTTAACAGAAGACGAGTTTGAGTTTCGGAGATGTAGGTCAAAAGTGCATTAGGACGTATTTACACTGATCTTACCCACTGATCCTCATCATCATCATCATCATCATCATCATCATCATCATCATCATCATCATCATCATCATCATCATCATCATCATCATCATCATCATCATCGTCATCATCGCTTTGTTCAACAAAACTTGAAGGTGGCAAAAAGAGTCTGATGCAATATTATTGAGACTATAAGCAAAATCAAACAGAATTATTTTAAAATGTTTTGTAAGCCCTCTATCGTACTGTAGGTCTTTGTAAATGAAAAGATTGAAAAGAAAGTTAGTTTATGATGAAAAATCTGCTCAAATAAATACAAGATTATTTGAGTGTTAAAAGCATTGCAGTGTAGCAGCAATATTATTACACCACAAACATGAGCAAAAAAATACACATTTTGGGAACCATTCATTTATTTTCTAGCCTAATGTGTTTTCAAAATAAAAGTGACCAATAAAGAACAATCCACAATGCATACGCTCAAATATAATAAATAAGAGATTTC